CTTACACTGCCCTATTGCGTCGTGCTAGTTGTACACTAAGGCAAGGCTGGTGGTTCCCTCTTTCGAGACAAGCGTCCACGGCACCCAACCTGTTGATGGCTGATTTTGGGGTTGCATGTTTGACCAAAAGAGCAATGAGCCGAAATCTTGTGGCGGAATTGCATCATTTGCTGCAATTGGAACTTGATATCGGTTCGTCAAAAACATAAAGTGAACAAAGAAAATGGTCGAGGTTGCAATCAAAGGATTTGGGGGCGTCATTGTATTGTGTCATGGCACCGAATGTGGATTGTCTTATTCTCAGGGCAAGTCAGCACGCGACATTGGCACTCTCCGCTAACTACTAAACAGGTCCTGCAAGACTGGCCGTGAGAATAAAGTTCAGCCTCCTCTTTCAACAAAACCCGTCACACGGAAAACGGCAGGTTTCAAGCTCAGGAACAGACGGGTTACATTGTGCGGCCTTTCTCAGCCCGTCAGGAATCTAGATTCTCACTCAAAACTGGCCAGTGTGTTGCCGACTGATCGATTGATGGGGGCGCTTTATTGTCGTACAGTGGGGCCCCGGTTATCCAGATTCAGATTTCACTGTCTCAGTTGACGTTTGATGCTTACCTAAGAATATCCAGCGCCCTGGGACATCTTCCAACGGTGAACAGATCCGTGTCTTTGCTCGTGCGGCATGACGCAAGGCAAAGACAAAATAATGGCGTAGGAATCAGCGTAAAGCTTCGTGTATATATATATCACAACTCTGGTACACAACCCGGTGGCGATCTGGCGTTCTTATGGCATGTAAGGTACTCAGCGCATCGAGCCGTTGCCAAGGGCTCGGCATTCGTCACTCGTGCGGCCCTCCCTTCGGCAATCCGTTGCCAGTTGCTTTTTTCGATACCTGCGCCGGCCGGGCGCACACAAGCCATCCCGGACCTGGCACTTGACACACCCACGTTCACAATTCACATCAGACGCAACTGAACTTCAGCTTCTCATCCCCCAGATACTCAGCTGCTAGTAGCTTCCGGTTGATCCAAAACGGGAAGCCGTCACCAAGAAAATGTCATTCGATTTTCCGAGAGCAAGTGGAGCCTGTTATCGCTCCCCCACGTTCTTCTCCATGATTTCCCGTCGACTGGCTCGCTTGTGATGCACCGCATCTGCAGCATCCCCAAAAAGGACGCCAATTGCAACGACGCTGGACCGCCAGTCCAACCAACCTGCCGCCTGTGCGGTTGTGCCAAATGCTATTACCATATATTGCTAAATTCGGACGTCTTTTCCCTGTAGGAAAGGAGGGGCTTGGCAGCCACACACGCGAACACACTTCAGCTATGAGAAGAAACATCTCCGGCCCCGTCAGCCATCAGTCCATCGCCGACACCCATCACGTCGACCATGAATCTGCCGCGTGGTAGAGAGCGGAAGAGACCGGGTGTGAATACACTACAGGGGCAAACCGTCTTGGCAAATCGTCTTGGCAAGTCGCGCAACATGGGCAATTCGCGTTCCTTTCTTCGCCCAGTCCAGGCTGATGTTGCGCAGGGTCGCGACAGTCCAGCAACACAAGGTAGCGCATCGACCAACTTGGATAGGTCGAGATAGGCTCACAAGCTTACCAGACCGTCTTGGCGTTTCGATCTCCCGTCTGGGCATTGCTTCTTACGCCTCATCTGTCTCGGCTTGAGTCGATGTTTGATCGTACTGCAAAGGGCAAGTCTTTCCCGATCCTCGGAGGCTCACCGATGTCCCTCTGCTCGTCCTTCTCGTCGGGTATCAGGTCAGCAACCATCATGCCCGCCCCCGGCCAAGCGCTGACCCCTTGCAAGGCGATGCCAAGCAAAGGCTTGTTCGTCCCCCTCCATTGCTTGTTTCCCCGCTCTTCAACGACGTCGTTTCGATATCAATCAGGATTGGGACATCAACGGCAGTCGAGGATCACTACTCAGGACCGGTTGGCTGAACACCATAGGAGACAGAAACACTAATAGGCTGTTGCCAATTGAGAAGCAATATTGTCAACAACTCGACAGAGCCCGCATAAGCACACGGCACGGATACGTCCTGTAGTATTCACAATATTATGCTTCCCTGGCTTTAACTCTTTTCCCCGCGCTCAGGGTGTACAAAGCCTTTCTGAGCAGCCACTGTCACTAGGTACGACCGAGAACGTGACAAGACGTAAAGGACGGAAAAGAGGTGGGCACGGAAAGGGAAGGAAGGTGTAGCTTTTATTCCGCGCTGTTGGCTGGGATGAGCGGTGTGAAGGCGGAAGCGTAATTGCTCCCCCTCACATGAAAGGACTCGACCAACAAGCCGGGACGTGCTTTCAGCACTTGGGTCCTTGGGTGACGGAGAACAATGACGACAAGAGACCATCGTCGTGGGATACCAAGCTCTTCGTAGGAGTCTGCCTTTTTCGAGCTCAACGTCTCTTAGCAAGGCCAAAATCACCTTTTCTCCCACGGTCCCTTTTGCAACCAGCTCTGAGGCGGGAGGCCAAATTGCGGGAGATATCATCGATTCACCAGACGGGCTTTTATCGAGGGCTAGAATGGGTAATTATGCCCTCCCTTAACCCACTGACAAGGAGTCAGCTCCGTTTGAGCAAACAGATTGGCTCTACCGTGTAAAAGAGCAGATGGAAACAAGTACTCCAGGGCGGTTTTCGGCACTCTAGCTTTCCCAACATGGCCATCGACATGGTCTGATATCAGCTAGGTCTAATATCAGCAAGTTGAAGTTCAGACAGCCCAGCCAGCACATCATGATAGACATGGAAAATCCCGCACGCATGTGGTTGCATGTGTTTGGGACAAGGTTAACCGCTATCCCCCTCTCCTATCTGGTTCGTCTCCGGATTGGCTGGCTGGCCAGGGCTTCAAGTACTAGATGTACTGGATACTTTGCTATCGTTGGCTGTCAGCTAATCACATTTTTTGGCTGATATCCACCTTATTTCCCTTGCCACCACCAAGCCAACGCCAACATACTCAAGGGCGTTCGTAAGCTTTCTTGTCTGTCCGGAAATTGTCGAAGAGTTCGGTACCTGCAGCCGAATGAGAACTCTGTGAACGACTTGGCATCGGTATCCCGCCGCTTGGCAAGAAAGCCAAGACGGTGAATCAGGACCCCTTTTTCTTGACATCTAGTATGTATGTACATACGATCTTAGGAATATCAAGATGCGATCATCAGATACAGACCCGAAATCAAACCAACCTAGACTAAACAGAATCCACATAAAAGACTAACGACACGAATGCTCGGATCCTCGAGGAGGAAGATCACGGGGCGGATAGCACACCCACACTTCGCCGACCCGGAGCCGGCTGACGTCTGCTTTTCGCTCTTGTCCCTCACAGGCGGACAGCCAGCAGGTTGTACACCTTCAAACAACAACCCCACCCCCGAGGACCCAAAGAATGCTCTATCGCTCCAGACGCCCGGTGAGTGGCCGAAGGCGATGACGCGAGGTGATCCCAACAAGCTTCCGACAGCTGCTAGTGTCCGTCCCATGATAGGATTTCTTGGCTTGTTGGAAAGGAGCTCGTTGCGCCCCCCTTCTCTGTTATTCCCGCCGTGCCGTGTTTGCCGGTCCACTGACCGGGTGGCATACTGCTCGGGGGCGTTCGTTGTCTATTGACCACAAAGCCTACGTGGAGCGCTGAAATCGCGGCCCTTCTATGAAAAGAGCTACGAAAGCGAACCAAAAAAGCCATGATTCATCAGAATCCTTTTCTTGTTTTTTGGGTCCATATTTTTGCAATTCGATTCACGACAAGTGGGGCTTTGCTTTTGCTTTACCGATTGCCAACACCAGCAGCAGCAGGACAAGACAGTGACAAAAGAGGTCATCAAGGTTTCTTGGGTTGCATCCACCCAGCCATATCCATCCTATCCCTGGAGACTTGAGCGGGTTTCCACCTTGCTGGTATCCGCACAGGTTATCAATTTATCCGCCGCCGTTTTACCGCGATCCCGTTGCGCGCGCGGAGGGGCCGACCGAACCGCCGAACGAGCGAGCGATCTCGTTGCTTCCCGGGTTCTGAAGATAGGAGCCCCACACGGTAGATACAAACCCAACAACACGGACCAGGTAAACCCCGGGGCCCCGACCCCGACATGACATGATGAATGTCTAACCCCCGATGCCAGGAATTATGACTAGGGGACACGGTACGGGGACCGGGTTTGTACACTGCGGTAGGAGGGTGTCCGACTGTTTTTGTTTACCCCGTTCTTTTCCCCACAGTACGTAACTTTCTTAAGCGGAAAAGGTCATGGTAAGAGCCGATTAGTCATTATGGGTATTTTTTATGGCTGATCCATGAGGATTTGTTTTACGTACAATTACCCCATAACCAGGGCAGGTCAGATTTATGTATATGCAGCGGAAGTGCCGTGGGGACGCGTGACGACAGAACAGTTTTGGTTCCCGGTTTTTCTGGAAGTTCTGGAAGTTTTTTTTTGTTTTTGTTCGGAGCTGATGTGGTGATCTGATTTTCGGGCTTTGGCTTCTGTGTGTGTGTGAGCCTATCAAGGATGAGATATGCAGCACGTGTGGTCTGAAGAGGTCTTCAATGGGGGCCTTCATACTGTTCCCCCCCTCCCCCCGCGCAAGGTTGTTGTCATAGACAGACAGCTAGCTGTCAAGCCTCACACTATGCAGGAAAGAAAGGGAAGGCAGGGGAAGTAACAAAGTTATCACGCGACCAACGTTAGCCTCCTGTTATCCAGTCACATTATGTCCCGAGATTGTATGTAAACATTCGCTGTCAAATGAAGCCAAGGGGGTTGTTTATCAAGTGCCGGAGTGGACAAGAAGTCGCCATCCTGGGCAAACTATTCCGGGGACAGAGTTTCCCAGCTTTTTTCTCCACACTTCGGTCCTTGGGATCCAAAGGTCCACCTGGACCCAAAAGTCTCCTGACTCAAGAAGACCACAGAGGTGGTTTATGTGTCTCAATTTTGTAAAGAGAACAAGCATGACATGAACAACAGGGAGCTTGGCTCAGTTGGAAGAGCGCAGGTCTCATATGAAATTGTGTCGCAATGACAAAAGAGAAATATGATCTGGTTGGTTCAAACAATCAGAGCTATCCTGAGGTCGTGAGTTCGAGCCTCACAGTTCCCATGTCTTTTTGCCCATCTTCCTTCCTCTCTCGAAGGGGGGGTTTACTTCTCTTTTTTTGTTTTCTGTCTACCGTCTTCTCCTTCGTTACCAACTATCTCTTTGTCCTAGCAGGGTGAATCTTTTTTGATAGGTAGGTATCTTGGATGGCCGGCTGTGCTAGTTAAAAATTGGGTTTCTTTCGGGGGGTCTGACATCCCCCCCCCCCTTTTTTTTTATCTTTCTTTTTTTTATGTTGTGATGTTGAGCTCTGTTCAATGGTTGATTTCCTTTCCCTGGGTAGCTATGTTAGAGGGAGTGTGTTACTGGTTTTTTTCTGAGTCAAAAGACTCCACGAAGCTCTACTGTGTAGGTAATATAATGTACGTGCTAACCATGAGTAGGGAGCCATGCGTTGTTTAAGCAGACACTTTGACAAGATAATCTCTTATCAGGCAAACCAGCTTAGGTGGGCTACCTAGGCAGGTAAACAGCATGCTTTTTCTTCTCACCTTTCTTTTAACTCGGAGCCTGGTTCGGCAAAGTAGCACATACCCTTCTTTTCACCTTTTTCGGAGATATATATATGGCACGACCAAACCAAAGGTCACTTTTATAGTCCCCGGAGGCTTCCTCTTTCTAGATCCAAGATTGGCAAAAGCCTCCTATTAAGAATGGTCATATTCTGAGGCTGTCACATTTGGTCTATGAGAACTGTCGACTGGGATTAGAACAGTGAAGAATGCATAATGCAGGAATGATAAATGATCATGATGTAGACCGTAGCTGTTTTGCAGTGTAAAAGTCATACTTCGGTCCAGCTCATGAGCCCCTTCTTTTTTTTTTGCCTCTACATGACTCTGAGGCTCTTTTTGTCAATTCAGGTTCAATGACCAGTTTATCTGGGATGTGATCATGACTGTCTAAAGCGTCACCGAAGCCGCAAACAGTAGACAATCGCCCCCGCCGACGATGTAAGAGTACAAGGGACGACTCAGCCTCTATGGCAGGCCACCAGAAAAGACGTAAGCTTTCAAGTGATGTATCTCGTCAACTACAGAGCCCAAGTCAGACAAAGAAGGGACCAAAGACAGCTTCAGCCTCAAACCCCCTTGTTTGGCCACGTTCGAGGACCACGCGTCTAGAGAGGTGGCCATAGCCTCGGTGATACATACGTGCATACGCACAAACGTCTTCTTCGCTGTCCACTACCTCCCCTTGCTTACCCTTACAATATTCGGGAGCTCACATTATTACCAGCAGTCACTGCTTGAGCATGCCTCCCCCATCCTGAGACTTGCACGACTGCCTGCCTATTTTAAAGTAACCTCACAGAATGACAAACACGATCAAAAAAGAGCCCCCGCCAAGACGGTACTCGGTATTTCTCCATCTTCACACGACATGACTGCCAAGTGTTACACCCTACATCTTTCTATATGAGGGAATACCGAAGAACAAACGCGGTGAGTCTCTTGGCAGGTGGCACTACCTTGCGTGCAGGACTTAACGGAGGGGTGTGAGCAATCCGGTAAGTATCCCTGGCGAGTGTTGTGTTCCAGACTTTGGAGAGTAAAGCTGAAGAAGTGTGTGTATGAGGCAACGTGAGGAAGCAAGTGGAGGGGGGTGGGTGGTGTGGAGTGTTTATACCGTCATACACAGAGCTCTGTGGCACTTGCTCAACTCTGCTTCTTATCTGATGTTGAGGAGGACTATTAGGAAAGGTGTCTGGGAAAGCAACTCTTGACGAAGCTGCTGACGAAAGTTTCTGACGGACCCCCCTAGACGGGCAGGTATCACCACCAACATTGGTGAGACATGGATATCTTTGATTTCTTCACTCAGATTTTTAAAGTCATATTAATCCGGAGAGGTCAAATGCTGCATAGGAAGTTCAAGAGAGCATGTATGAATCATCGGATCAGAATTGGCTAGATAGCATCTCATCGGTCTGTAGTGGAGGCAGGGCGGATGTTGACAATACCTTATGTATCTATACTTTTATCTCTCTCTATCTTCACAGCATGAGAGCACAGCATGGTCATCACTCGGCTTTGCTACTGCCACCACCCGCTGCATCACCCACCCCCGTCTTATCTACGATACACTTATCCGTCAAGACGATGAGAATCAAGGATTTTCGTCGGAATCAGATGCATCGCACATGGGTGTAGTGCAAGGCAAACCTTCCAGAAGGCCTGTTCAAGTGTTTCCATGCAGTAGTGCCCTTCAGGATAGATTAAAAGATCCCTTTTGCCTTTATCTATCGTGATACGCTAGGATAGGTGCTGATCGTAAGCGGGAGGGCGTGCCCTGAGTTGACTACAGGGTTCTTTTACGTCGTTGATGTTGATGCGAGGGAATGAGGCGAAAAAAGTGAGAGGTTTGAGGGAAAAAACTCATGTTGGGTCACTCAAGGAAATCGAAAGCTAACAGAAATCGGATGTGAAAAATCCGAGAGTGAGTTTGGTATGTAACACTGTGTTGAATGCGTGTAGATCAGCAGACCGTTGATCGGTCATCCACCACACAAGCTTCCTGAACCATGAACTTGCAGGGTAAAGTTTGCCCACCTAGGTAGACTCTGAACAATGGAAGGAAAAAGACAACGTCACTTCCCACCATATAGCCTTGTTTGACAATGAAGATATGAAGGTAGGGCGCCCTTCGAATTGCGTCTTGTGCAACAATTGCCTTGCTCTGGCGGATGACGGGCCGTGACACTGTAACACACCTCGCTCAACAACCCTTGACGTGCTGGCCATTTGCAGGCAACCTGGGCCTCCTGACCGATGAGTGGGAAAAAAAAAGGGAGACAGAGAGCACAAAGCCACTGATTTCAGAGTCAGGTGGGCGAGAAGTGGCAGGGAGGAGGTTTGCGCCCGAGCACTCCAAGCCCAAGAATGCATTGTCTTGTGGCCCGTCCTAGCGCGAACGACTCATAGCTCGACGAGGGCGAGGAAGGCGTACTCGCGGTGAGCATCAGAATAACCTGTCCGAAACACAGCCAAGCTAGCCGTTGCCATTCGTTGTTGCGGGCGTGGATCGCCCTAAGAAACCAAGACAGCACACGCAATATATGCACTTGACATGCTGTCCTTCTGGCTGGTCACTTCAGCCCAGTAGAAGAAGCAACTGGGGAGGTGGCCGTGTGGTTTATAACGGCCCGAAGAGACTTGTCTGTTTCTTGCTGGTGGATGGTCATGATGGTGTGGCCAGAAGGACTTGATCGACTTTCAAGTCTCAATCCGATTCGTGATACTATCAAACATCATTTGTGAATGACTTGAAATTGAGGAAGGCAACGACCTGGTTGGGCGAGCAAGAATGAAAAAGTTTCATCACGTACCGGTCGGATTGTCTCGAGTTCAAGTTTGTTTCCTGAATCCTGTTGCTTCTTTTGCAGTTGTCTACCAACAGGAAGGTCATCCGCTGTTTTAGTGGAAAAGGAAAATACCGTAGCCATCCCGCTGCCCTCTTTCGACCCGTCTTCAAGTTTACCACATTGACGATCATAAATGAAGGGAAGCATCCGGCCGTGAAAGTACAAAGCGCGCATCTTTCTTGTAGAGAAGTCCTGTCTGTCCTCTGTTACTCGTTCTTTCCAGCACTCTTTTGCGGGTCAGTTTGCTGGTCATCCATCCAAGTTGCCTTACCGCCTTCACCACCCGCCCTCCAGACCGCCCCTCAACACCGCCGTCCCCTTCGACAGCAAACTTTTGAGACCGACTCTGCCCTGAATATATCGACTGTCAACGATACCCCGCAGTCAAACATCAACGGCCCCCTCTCGAGAGCCATCTCTCCCACAAGCAAACCGCTTACTACCACCATCAAAAACTGCCCACCATGTGCGAATACAGGCAGGTAGGTTGATTGAATATTGTTCTTGCTCTTCTTTGATCCTGTTCTGCGTCTCCGACTGTCCTACTCTTCCTAAACGCGATGGTCCTCCTCTTATTTTGGTTCCTCTCTGTTGTGGCCGCTATCTGGCACCCTGTTTTACTCGCTCTTTTTCTGGTCGTTCATATTTCTTGGGAGGTTGTGCTGTTTTGATCCTCAATTTGCTATCATCCTAGTCCTGCTTCTTCCCTCGTCTGGCTGTTCCTCTGGTCTTTTTTCTTTCTTTGCTTGTGTGGACTTTGTGTTGATGTTTTCATCTCTTTCTAAACTTTGTTTCCCGTCTGATTTTGTTTTTGTTTAGAAACCACCAGCCAGCCATGAGCAAACGCCCCCACAACCCTCTTGCTAACCCTCCCTGTCCAGAGAGAGTATCTCGGATGTGGCCACCTCCGCTGGCTCTCGATCAAGAACTGCGACAAGTTCAAGCAGTATGGTAAGATTGCCAGGTGTGAACCCCAGGTCATGGACTTTGAGGAATCGTAAGTTTCTTTACCCTTTCTTTGCTTCCCGCAAAGGTGGTTGTTCAGCCAACTGATCCTGATTCATAGCCCGAAAATCTGCGGCGGCTGCCTGACCAAGGATAACCCGCCGCATGCTAGGCTCAAGCTGGATCCTAATTCGCCCTGGGGGAGGTATCTCTGTCGGCCTTGATGATCTCTCTCTGCAATCTGTCGTGGGGAGAGAGTTTGGGCGGTGATGCGGAATAGAATTGAGAATAGTGAACCTTGAGCCTGTCGATAATGATTGATACCCTGGGACAATAATTGGCTGGGAAAGGATCGGGCTCGGATTAGGATGGGTGCTTGGTTGAGCGGGTTAGGTATGCCAAGAATGTTTCTAGGCCTTTCCCTAACTCGGAGACGCCTTTTACTGATCTGTTTTTGATGCCTATTTCGAGTCTCTTAAAGCCTCGGTTGTGCTGATTCCTCTGTTTGATGTCAAAAGACCTGTGTTTGATATTACGGGGACCTATGGATGATGCCGGCCACGCCTGTTATTGTTGTGGCAATGCCTATGCACTGTGTCGTGGCCCGGTGTTTCTTCTTGCTGATTCCTTGAGCTCATCATTTCCCGTTAACCACCTAAACAGAGCCAGGACAAACCATTTGAAGCCTCTCCCC